GAATTTCTAGAACGATCATGAAATACCCGTAGTGCCTGTGCCTGAAACGGTGAAATTACAATCGGTACAAGGAAAATTCAACCAATCCGACTCAAATGCAACGGAATTGGTAAGAAAATAAGTCTCGCTCTGCATCAAAGCCAAATTGCATCAACATCTAACGAGTATGAATCGATCGAACGATTATGACATCTATGAGGTATATCGGAAAGTCTTCGATTCTGATTCAGTTTAAATAAATCCACCGAATTTTATATCAAAATTGAAAAAAATATAAATGAAACTTTTTTACGAAATTAAAAATAACGTTCGTTTTTCATTTCACCGAAATAATGAATAATTAGCCAATTTGTGTTGGTATTTTTTAACAAACGTATATAGAAATAGATTTTTGGTGGAAGGTATGGTTTTATTCTACTAAAACCAAAGCCGAAAAACAAATTTCGAACGGGGATTCACTAGCACGTGTCTAACACGAATCCTTCTTTAACTGGTGCAAAAGTGCTCACAATGGGAAAACTCACCATGCTATTTCAACAGAACGGTTGTTTAGCGCGAACGGTCTGGCGCATATTTGCAATTAAATAGACAATCAATGTCCAATTATATCAAAAATGAAAGTTTTTTTTTTGGGAATTCCCATCATAATTACAACTACATGCGTAGTAAAGCAATCCGTGCTTCATTGCAATGAAAAACAAATGCTAAAAATTGCATCGAAACGGTAGTGTTACACTACTAGTGTATCTTTGAATTTCGTTACTTTGCACTGTGAATTGCGCAGTTTTCTCGGTTTGCAACATGTTTAATTTAGTTCAACAATTTCGGACAAAGCGAGCGAAATGGCAACGTAAGACACCGAAAGAGAAATTTGATGTGTTGTATGGACTTTGTGATAAATTGAGCAGTTCAGTGGGAGTGCGAATTTTTAAGCGACATGAAAAATTATTGGTACACAGCATCAGGCGGCATAGCATCGGCCATTTAATTTCTGCTTGTCATCTATACAATCGACTATTATGCGAAAAAGGGTGATTTCTTAAAAGGCATTCAAAGTTGTCTTGGGAATAGTGGTCACTGTAAGTTATATGTGGATGATTCAAGTTTAAAAAAATTTGTGCACTGAAGCCACTACAGCTATTCATTTTTACTGATGATGAAAATATCCATTTTCAATGTGCGAGAAAAAAACAAAACTTTTTTTCTTTATTTTTTTCAGGGCATAACGCATTGGAAGGCAATTGGGCCACATGTTTTAAATTGAACAGTTTACAAAGATTTGGTAGTGAATTCGTTTACATTGATGATAAATCGCCAAAATATACCGCCGTCCGAGAGAAACATATTGAAAACCTCGTTAAAAGTCAATGAATATACATCCAATTATTTGTGGTGGCCATGATTTTAATTTCGCATGCATTGTACGCCGTTTATCCAATTTATGTGTTTCACTTTAAAAATATCCATGTGACCCCGATTCCAACGGAATAACCGTATATTGAGAAGGAAACTAATTTTGGGTTCACACTAAATCTATTTGTGCAAAGCATTCAAATATTCTATGAACTGATGGCAATTACTTGCGTTCAGTTGAACCTTTGTTTCGTGAATGATACAATCACAACGATGCCGGCGCTGATTCGCGTGGATTTGAATGACATTGGAAACAATTTGATGCATGATGGCATGGATTCCAAAATGAAAATTCATTTGCGAAATGTTTTGATTAAAGTACAAGATTTTTTTAGATAAAATCATGCAATTGAGAGACAAGAATTTATGGTGCATTTTGAAGAACACCGAAAGTCGCTACTGAAGGAATTGAACTACGCATTTATATTGTAAGGGAGAATTCACTCATTTGTGTCCTTCTTCTTCAGCTATATCCATGATGTTATCGATGTTTTTTACGTAAAAATGTTCGAAGCACCTTATCTCCACCAATACTTAATTACCGTATCGATTTTTTAACAGCTTATTGTAATTCGTATTTCATCAATTTTTCAGTAGATGTCACTTGTTCTGACTTCATTTTTACTCTTTCATATGTCTTCAATTATCCGCAGCTTGACTTTCCAGCCGGATATGCATGCGCATTGCGCAATGTTATGCTATGGTCAATTATTGTTGCTATGTTATATGGGAAATAATGTGAGAGAAGCGGTAGAAAAATTATCCAAAAATCGTCTGAAATGTGTAAATTAATTCTGTTTTTCTTGTTTAGAACGAAAGAATAACAATAAAATTTTACGATGTCCCCTGATATCTGCTGCCAATATCACATCAAAAAGAATCCTGACCATTGGACCGTTTGCTCAATTGGATTTTGACACTGGAACCAATGTGAGTCGAGAAGTTACAAAATATTTTACATGCTGGGAATAATTTCCTCGTTTAGATACTTGTTCAACGTGTTCAATCCCATTGCAGCTGACCAAGAACGTGTACCGTTTTACAATGCTATTAGTCACGCTTTTCAAATGAGAACGGAAATATGGAAATTGACCCTCGCGATAAATGTGGACAGCAATAGTATGAAATGCTTCATAGCCGGCTGCAATCAATGACCACAGACATGCATGAATACAATTTTAACTGGCCAAAAATAGCTTTTTCAATCACAGACAATTTTTCACCCGCTTTTTGAACTGGAAATAGTTATAATAAGATTTTAATTAGTTCCAATAATGATTGGTGATTCACCAATGGTGAACTTAACCACGAAATGTACATTATTGTGTGCACTTGAAAATAATAGTCGCTTTCTTACTACGCTTTCTCAGTATTTAGAAATGGAAACGTTTACGACAGTTATCAATAGCATGTGTTGTATTTCGTTTGAGAATAAAAACCATTTGCATTTGTTCAATGTGCAAATAATCAATTGTTTGACGTTTGAAATTGAAACACTTTCATTTCCAAATGCATTATTATGACACAGTTTTTTCTAGGAAGTCGTTGAATTCATTTTAGGGGGCTCTAACATTGGCATTTGGATGAATTGTGAAAATTACATCATCCAGAGATGAGCTAAGGTGATGCCTTAGACTTAAAAAAAATGTAAGACAAAAATCAATTGGCCTTCGGGCAGCATGTATTTATACTACATGTATAAATACCGAAAAACAGAATGAATAAATAAACTGCAATTGTAACTATTAGAATACCATTGTTTTATTTTATCAATCTGAATTTGATCAATTATTTTTACAGTTTCATTGGTTTCTTGTTTACTTACTTGATATTTATCATCAAAATATGCAAAAATGTGTAGAACCAATAACATACGGTCAATTCTTACTTCGATAAATGTGAATAAACACTCAGTTTTTTTTTCGATCTCCGTGTGTGTCTCTTGTTGTCGATAATTTGCATGTACGAATCAGATTAGAGACAGACCTCGTTAACCATTCAAAAACCATTGTTTTTGCAATTCTTGTAGACAAATATTTATTACATGTATTTATATATTTTTTAAACAAATATCTGATTCTAATTTTGTATAAAAGCCCATCGATTCAAAGGCAGAACCATCAGTTGGTTCGATTAGCTCAAAAGTATTCTAACTCTCTACCAAACTTTCAAAGTTATTTTTCTGATAAAATGAAGACTCTTTTATTGATCGCCGTTATCGTGTGCAGCGTTTTTGCTCAACGCTTTGGTGGGCCAGGTCAACGAGGGCCTGGTCAACAAAGGCCCGGTCAACACGGACCCCATAAACCCGGCCAACATGGACACGGTCCAAATGGACCTGGATCGGTAAGAATTTAGTTGATGCCATTTTTTTGGTCTATAAAACGTATTAACCAACAATCGTAACTCGCATCTCGATCAACTATTTTGAAAATTAGGACGCCGATCGACAACTCTTCAGACAATGTGTGAATGAGACAGGCATCAATCGGGAGGAATTAGAAGCTTTGAGGGAAGCAGCTGCGGTAAGAAAAATTATTTCATTTTCAAACGAAATTGCTCTATTTCAATCACGAGTTCTCTTTTCTATAGGATGCATCATTGTCCAGCGAGCAAACAAGTTTCGTTTGCTGTTTGACTGCTCCATTGGTAAACTTTGATTATTTTTCGATACTGAAATGTCATATTTTAACAAATTGATTCGTTTGAGTAGATTTCAGATCAACAGCTCAACATAACAAGCGTCCAAAACATAGCGAATAGACCCGGTTGCGATGAATCCAACGTCGACTTATCTACCGTCATCAGCTCATGCGAATCGGATGGAGTCACTGCAAACACCTTGGATTCATGCGAAAATATCGCTCCTTTCATGCACTGTGTCTACACAAAATTACGTGAAGAATGTCGTAAGCCAGAGTCAGAATAATTTTTCGGAGACAGGCTCTAATAGAAAGAAATCAAAATTGAGCAGAACTTCTTTAACTACAACATTGCATTGATGGACAAAATATGTGAACGTTCAGGATATTTCAATAAAACAGAGAATAATCCCTCATAGAAACTAAATGCTTTCTTTGCGAATTCTTCTTTTCTACTTCGGTTAAACGCAAACAAATCTCATCCATTTTTTGAGTATATCTCTACTTACGAAAGATAATTAAGATACAAACACAGATGAAAATACTTGTATCTTTGGCAAATCCTTACGCACATTAAGCTATATAAAAGACTATTGTTTGTAAGTAATCCTCAACCAAATATCCAATTTCGGACCTCGCTTAAAATATCAGTACAATGAGCAATTGTGACAATGAAAGAAATTGCAAGATTGCGATAAACTATCTATGAATTTATGGCGAAAAGAACTTCAATAGACTTCAATCCATCCAACATAAATAGCAAAACGAACATTACAACAACGCTAACCACAGTCATAATGCATATTCTATCATCATCATATGTAACAGGTCAATGTGTGTAATAGCAAATTGGCAATGAACTCGACATTTTTCATTTATTCAAGAGATAAACTGTTGAAATATTTCCGCCTTTCTTTGATTTTCTTTGTTTGTTTGTTTCTTTCTTTCTTTCTATTACTTTCTCTCTTTTTCTCTTTCTCTATTCTTTTTCAGGACTCTCTTCTACTACCACTCATGTTATTAAAACTGGACCTTTTCAAAAAATATCAGTTATTTTGTCTGTTTCTATCGGCATAGAACTTGAATGACTAGGCTTCAAATGCAATATCTAGTTTGAAAGTGATAATATTTTCCATTTTTCTTCGAATGTCCTTCGCCAAATTCGTTTATCGGTTAGAAAAAATCATAAATTGTACACCACATGACCAGTAGAAAGAGACACACCACTAAATGCGAAGATAACAACGAACGGACAAATACTTTTTTGTTATTGATTTTTTACTTCAGCTGGGTAGAAAAACGACCAAACGACGCAAAAAAACATTCTCTACCTACTTTTTGTTTGTTTTCCATTTTTCAATGCAATTGTTTTTTTTCTGCATTCATGGTCATGTGCAGCATGGACGCACAATTAACATATTATCTATAGAAAATCGCTTGGTAACAATGTGTATTCACATTGCATATTTTGTGTGCGAATGCTTTGAACAATTGCATGCCCGAAATTTCGGCGATCGGAGCCTTTTGGAAAACTGCTGATACAAAATGTATATAAAAAAACTGTGTAAAATTCAAAGTAAATCAAATGAAATCGAGGATAGTTCTCCATGAAAAAAGGGTTACAAACCTGATTTTTTTTATTTAGATACCACCAAATGTGTTGAATAAAAGTGATATTTATTTCAATTCAAAATCAAAAAAATTCAAGTGCTTTGAAAATCTCCGAAAACAGAAGAGGTTTCATCGAATTGTATAAATTCATCGCCATTAAAACCTGGGTGAGAATCGATTATTCGTTTATTTTGCCTATATCAATGACGCTCGTAGTAAATCGAATTCTGAAATAGAAGTAATTTGAGAAAATCCACCTAATCGAAAATGAAATTCGATTCAAAATTACAATCAAAAGGCATGCTCCAAGTAAGACTGCTTTGATTCGAACGTCTAAATCTGTGTCGGTAAAAAATTCGCGTGCAAGCCCTGACTTGCATATTTTTCCAACTTGAACACCGTCCGGCCTCATGACCTGCAATGGAAGCAAAGAAGAACGTTCCTGCGGTAGAGTGATGCGTATAGTGTAGTAAATTTGTTGAAGTAGTTGGATGTCTGGATTAACCTCATGAGGCAATCTACCTTGAATTCAACATCTCTGAAGAAAGCAGTTGTAATTGCGGGTCCTTCAATTTGCAGAACCGTTTCGTTGCATTGGTTTATGACTTTGAATCTCGGGAACACTAAAGCCGATTCTTCTACAATTCGACCAATAACCTGCCCATTCGGTATCGATACTTCGGTCAAATTGGAAAATCCCCATACAAACGGTCGAGAGAATTACATCACTCGATTATTATGATTATCCCTTACAATAATGTTGAACGGCCGATCAGAACCGCAACACCAATGGTCACAACAGTCAGCATCCTCATCGGCATGGTAAATCTAGTACCAAAGAAAAATTTATTGGTAGATAGAGCAAACGAAAAGAATAAATTGAAAATGGCTTACATTTTGATCCATTGCATTTTCTTTCACGAATCTATATTTGCAGGCCTGCCACAGATTTTTTTGTCTAAAAAAGCTGAAAAAGCTGATATTACCAGTTTGAAAAAGCAAGCAAAAGCTGATGAGATTAATATGGCAAAATCAAAGAAGCAGTTATGAAAATAGTTTTTTTTATAGTATTTCTTGTCGAATCATAACTGAAATTTTATTTTCAATCTTACTTGCTACGCAGTTGACTTATAAATAATATTGCTAACTGAATTAAATTTGACTTCCATGTTTTCAATATGTTTATCTCGCATCAAGTGTTGGGTCACAGCAGCAAATCCTTTGCTTTTGATGTTGATAGTACTATCGCAGGCTGAACATCTCAACGTAAAATCTTCTTCCTTCTTGAAAAACTCTTTGTATTTCACTTTGCTTTTATCTTTCATTTCGAATTCCAAATTAAACCAATCATTATGAACTTTACATGACATTCTATTTCACAATAGAAATGTACTTGTTTGATTTGAATGGAAATGTGACTCGTGCCAAAACTGAATGTGAACTGATTGTTGTATTATTATATTTTTGATATTTGGAGCTACCACTTGAGCCAAAAAAATGCTTGTGCACTCATTTTCACATCTAGCAAGCTAGGGGCTTCTATGTCGGTTTGGCATTCGAATTTTTATTCACAAATTCGCGTTCAGTGCCATGCATTCGCAACGCTGCCATATGATTTCTATGTAAACATTCGCACTCGCATTCGTATAGCAGTCGTATTTCGCTGTTCTCGAACGTTCTCACGAATACGAGTGCGTGTGTTTACATAGAAATCATACGGCAGCGTTGCGAATGCATGCACACGAATGAACGAATGAATTATGTAGTCACAAGTTCGCTATCATAGCCGCATTCGTCGCATTCGCAAACATTCGAATTTTTGTTCTGAAATTCGAATGCATTCGCAGCATTCGCGAGAGATAAATCCCCTTAGCTAGCAAGTGTTCGCCGAATTGGAAAATAACAAAACGGTAATTTCTTTTTATCAGTTTCGCAATTGCCTCTTTACATCGATTTATAAACATGATCTATCAGGTGTTGTCATGCCAAATCGAAGCAATAACAAAAACGATAATTTCTTATTTACATTGATTCATAAATATGCTGACCAATGCGTTTCAGATAAATTGAAAGAATGACACCGTGTCATAGCACAGTGCCAATGATTCAGAATTAGATTGAGTTAATATTGTCTTCATAAGAAAAAAATGTTTACTTTTTCATTGCTCTGTCTGAAAACGCGTTTCTTTTATTTTTTTTATTGTGATTTTTTTCATCATTTGTATTAGTTTTCTCATTTTTTTTTAAAAAAGCTGAAAAAGCTGAACTGTGACCGAAATAGCTAATAATAGCTGAAGATTTTCAAAAAGCTGATAATCAGCTCAAAAGCTGACCTGTGGCAGGCCTGTATTTGTTTTATCAATAGTTGATCAACTGTGGTTAAGTACTCCAAGCCGGGTGAAAAGTTTGTCATTTGATGTGGTACATTCAAGGCATCATCTGTTTCGGTGGAAGAAACAAGATGTTTGAAATACTGGCTAAAAAGTCGAGAAATTGTTTGTTTCAACTCACTGGAGTTCCCAAAATGCGGCTGAGTATTGATAGCACTTGGTGAATGCTGTTCACTTGACTGAGCACCCAATGCAACGTTCTACAAAATATAGCCAATTGATGATAATAACGTGACAGCTAATTTTGAGTTTTGGATAACGTCAGACTGTTTGCACATATTCTAGTTAAATTTGAAATTTTCTGTAAAAAAATTCTGTAGTTTCTTCTTCTGTAAATTTTCTAAAACTAAACAGCGAGCGAATGCGATATACCAGTACTGTCCATTTGGCCACTTGTGGCCAACGAGAAGATTTTGACGATTTTTTATTATAATTCTAGATTTTTAGATAGATGATTTGAATTTATGCCCAATATATTTTGTTCCAACGAATTTCGTAGTTTGCAACACGAAAACGGCAGAAAGAGCAATATACAGCATGCACAAAAATTTAAATTTGCCAAATGAAACAAGTGATGCATTGTGGAGACGTTTGCTATCTGAATGCAATTTTCTAGTTCTCAAAGATGTTGTGACAAAATTTCTTTGCATGTTCGGGTCCACATAGGTTTGTGAGGCTTCATTCTCCAGTCTAACGCGTCGTAAACATAAATACCGCAATGCACTATCGCACACGATTCAACGCCAACAAACAAACATTAAATTTTCTACTGTGTGTACTGCGTTTTTTGTTTTTTAAGTGGCCATTGGATTGAACGATTGGCCACTTTTGTGGCCACGCGGAAAAAAGGTTGGACAGCACTGCGATATACCGTTGAGCGTACGCGGCATAGACACATTGATCACTTACATATGAAGGTGGAGGTGTTGGAGGCTCTTCAGCATTCTTGAAAGTTTGTGGTGTATTTGTGTAATTTGATTTTCTTCCATTATATTCTGTCTGCAAAACAATATCGAAAAAATGACCTAGTTTAGAGTCAAGAATAACAAACGAATTACAAAAAATAACTCTGTTTTTAATTCAAAGTCAATGTCAAGTGTGCGTCGAAATGATTTTGTTCATTTCAAAAATCTTCTACCGAAGAGACGTATTACTAGGAAGTATAGTAGCTATCATTTGTGTAGAATATAAAATACAAATAGCGTATCATAGCCATTGGTGCGCATGAACTAACTGTTTATTATTGCGATGAGTCACACGTATATATGCGTCTATTTGCTTTTTCAAACATACGGCAACTGGAGCTATTTTATACACTCATAAACACATTAGCGTATACATAGTATTCAGTAGTCGCTGTAGTATTCATATCTATAACATGTGTTGTATATAAACAAAGCGGCATCAGCTTGGAATTTGTTTGAATTATTCATATGCTTGGGCATCCAGCCCATTTTTATTTTTATTTTTTATTCTATTTATCATTGAGTCAAGCATTTAATTGATGCGAACATATTATCCGAATACTTTCGTACGACAATAGGGCACTGAATGGAACAATATTGATCTATCATTCATCACTGTTTGAACGCTTCACTGAACATATATTGTAACACATATTTGCATAATGAGGAGTTCTTATATATGCTTCAAAGAATGCCTATTCATAATATTGTTTAGTTCGAAAAATGCTCCAAAATTACATTCGAACACAAAGTAGATGAAAGCTAACGGCGTAAAAATGTACGGAGTTGTATGAATATATAGAATATGTGTTCGCAATAATTACTATGCGTTCTCATGTTCATCAAACCAGTTCTCGTTTATTCCCACACAGCTCCATACGAATACGCATACAATTATTATCACTTGTAACTATTTGAACTATTTGCAGCTGAAAAAATCATCAAAATAATCAAGAAACAACGAAATTTGATTTGACTTTTCTGATCTTATTACTTTTTTTCACTAAACTATTTATAAATTGGGGAAAATCTTGTGAACACGTGAACAATATTCGTTTTGAGTATTCCACTGGCAGTTATTTGTATCATTTAACGCAAAAGCTTGCTATGGACTATCGTTAGATTTGACCGAACATATGGCCGATCTTTTGCGAACGCAATTTCGCGAGTTCACTTCGGTATATGTTGCCGAAATGATTTGTTGTCATCCAGAAATGCCGGGCAGATCCACAGTCGTATCGCTGTTGTTTACAACAATGGAGTTTATATAAATAGTCGTATTGGTGCCGCATCGGTTCAGATACGTTTGTTTCATCATGTCGGTTTTTTGTTGCACGAATGGTGTTTTTGTTTTGATAAATTCACTCATGGCGCCAATTTTATTTTCTAAAGGAACACATGGAAGTTTCAACAAAGATATTTAAATTGAAAACATTGACATTGACTTGATTTTATTGATTTTTCCTTGAGCTAGGTAGAAAAAAAAGACTAAACGACCCAAAATAAAATTCTTTACCTACTTTTTGTTCGTTTTCCAATTTTCGATGCAATTGTTTTTTTTCTGCATTCATATGGTCATGTGCAGCATGGACGCACAATGCACATGTTCGCAATAAAAAATCGGTTGGAAACAATGTCTATTCACATTGCATATTTTGTATGCGGATGCTTTGAGCCATTGCATGTCTGTACTTTTGGTGCAACAGGCGACTTTTGAAAAACTTCTTATGTAAAATGTTGAGAGATGCAGGATAGACTTGGAGATAAATGAACAAACAATATTTGTTCTTATGTGCGTAACATATTTACAACAGGATTATCTATCCCTTCTCCGCTCTGAAGAAGACAACAATTCACATTTTGGAACTGTATCTAAGCCAAAGCAACCGGCCAAATAGCACAGTCGGAAATCATTTGTCAACGAACGAAGACATTCTACTTCTGTGCTAAGTTTTTAAGTGTTTTTTTTTTTGTGAAAATGAACACTACGATTAATACGATAGTGGCTGCTGTTCTTGTGTGCAGTGGTATTGGCGTTTTCGCGGCCCGCTTTTGGTTTAATGATAATGTTCCTTCAGTGGTAAGAATTCAATCGATTTTGAACTTTTCATCTAAAATTCAAAAAAAAAGTTACATAAATTCTTCTTCTAAACTTATCGATTGACTCTTTGAAATATTAGGATTTTGAGAAATGTAGGACGCACACTGGTATCGAGAAGAACGAATTATATATTTTGAAGACGGAACATGTAAGTAAACATATTTTCCATCTAATAAAATTATATTCCGTATTCTGAAAAAAAAACGCTTGTCTCTTCTTTAGGTAACATCGCTCTCCGTCGCCCAGCAAAAATTCATGTGTTGCATTGGGGAAAGCTTGGTAAATTTCAAAAACCAATTTCTACTAAAAAAATCGTCGATTTTAATCAAATCATATTTTGTTTGAACAGATTTCAAATCAGGAGCTCCAACTAAGTAATATCGAAAAAATGATCTCTGATCGCAAATGGAACGTTTCTGCTGACGAAATACCGACAATGATTAGCTCATGCGAAGTAAACGGAACCAGTGCAAAACAGTTGGATTTATGCGGAAAAATCGCTCCTTTCTTGCTCTGTGTCTACGATAAATTGGAGGAAAAATCTGCAGATGTAAGCGTTCAATTGAAACAAATGCACTTCACAAAAAAATCCATGAAACCAATTTTAAGTTACATCTAAATCAATTCTTTTTGAAATATTAGAATTCGCATAAAAAACATGTGGAGACCTGTGCGAAAAAAGCTAATTATAAGCTGGACGGCGCGCAGCATCTGAGAGATGGACCTGCAGTACGTACAGAGGATTTCTTCTAAATTCGTTTTCTCTATTTTGTTTGAACGTTTTGTCTTTTCTTTAGATCACATCATTTTCTAGCGAGGAAAAGAATTTCACTTGCTGCATGGGTGAAAAATGGGTAAATTTCAATTATTTTCATTATTTGAAAGAAAAAAAAAACTCCAATTCTTACGACACATTTTTCGTTTGAACAGATTACAGATGGAAAACTCAATGTAGAAAACGTAAAAGCTTTTATCAATGCACACAATTTGGGCGGCCCCAATGTCAATCTACCCAGTATCATCAATTCTTGTGAATCAAATGAAGTCAACTCAAACAATTTGGATACATGTGATAAGATTGCTCCTTTCGTTAGATGTCTCTATATTACATTGAGAAAATCGGGCTAATCCAAAAGTTATTCCATACCATTTCAATGACTCTTTACTATCCTGAAAATGAGTTCAACATATTTACAACTTTTCTAATCCTCATTCAGATAGATGGTCTGAATTTCGGTCAGATAGACCGTCTGAATTGTAAAGATCGAAAAACTGTGTAAAAATTCAAAGTAAATCAATAAAACTGAGTTTAGTTCTCCATAAAAAATGGGTTTCAAAAGTGATTTTTTTTATTTAGATACCACTAAATGTGTTGTATAAAAGTGATATTTGTTTCAATTCAAAATCAAAAAAATTTAAGTGCTTTGAAAATCTCTGAAAACAGAAGAGGCTTCATTGAATTGTATTAGTTGATTGCCATTAAAACCTGGGTGAGAATCGATTATTCGTTTGACTACCTTTTGCCTATATCAACGACGCTCGTAGTAAATCGAATTCTGAAATAGAAGTAATTTGAGAAACTCCACCTAATCGAAAATGAAATTCGATTGAAATTACGATTAAAAGGCACGCTCCAAGTAAGACTGCTTTGATTCGAACGTCTAAATCGATTGGGAAATTGATTCCGAAATAGTCTGCATAGGTAAAAAATTCGCGTGCAAGCCCTGACCATTGCTTGCATATTTTTCCAACTTGAACACCGTCTGGTTTCACAACCTGCAATGAAAGCGAAGGAGTACGTTCATGCGGTAGAGTGATGCGTTTAGTGCAGTAAATTTGTTAAAGTAATTGTGTTGACCATAAGGTAATCTACCTTGAATTCAACATCTCCGAAGAAACCAGTTGTAATCGCGGGTCCTTCAATGTACAAAACCGTTTCATTGTATTGGTTTTTGACTTTGAATGTTGGGAATACTAGATCAAACTGTTTTACAATTCGACCGATGACCTGTCCGATCGGTGCCGATACTTCAATCGAATCTGAAAAACCAATTGCAGTGGGACGAAAGAATTGCATCACTCGATTATCATAATTATCCGTTATAATCATGTCGAACGACCGATCAGAACCGCACCATAAATGCGCACAACAGTCAGCATCCTCATCGGCATGGTAAATCTAGCAACAAAGAAAAATTTATCGTTAGATAGAGCAAATGAAAAAAATAAATTGAAAATGGCTTACATTTTGACCCATTGCATTTTTTATCACGAATCTATTGTCCAATCCCAGCTCCACTTGTTGTTTTATCAATAGTTGATCAACTGTAGTTAAGTATTCCAAGCCTCGTGGACAGTTTGGTATTTGACGAGGAACGTTCATCGCACCATCTGTTTCGGTGGAAGAAACAATATACGTTTGAAATGATGGCTATAAAGTCAAAATAATCGGGCAATTCTGTTCTCTGTTCAACATTGATTACAAATCGAAATGAATTTCAAAAAAAATTTTTATCAACTTACTAGAATTCCCGAAATGGGGCTGAGTACAGATAGCACTTGGTAAATGTTGTCCACTTGGTTGAGCACCAACTACAATATCCTACAAAATATGACCAATTGTATTGATGGTAATGAACTGAACTAAGCGATCGAATCGTCGATTGGGTGAAGAGCGACACAATAGTATACTTGTAACTAACAGCACAGTTGCTCGTTCCTTTTTATTGACACATTGAAAGACAAACAGAAATGAACAATTGGGAATCACTTACATATGAAGATGGGGGTGATGGAGGCTCTTCAGCATTCTTGTTCAATAATGTTCGTGTATTTGGATTTTCTTCCATTGTATTCTATCTGTAGAGCAATGATATTGAGAAATAATTGACCTAATTTAGAGGCAAGAATAACAAACGATTCACGAAAAAATTTGTTTTTAGTTCAATGTCAATGTCAAATGTGTGTCGAAATGATTTCGTTCATTTCAACAAGATTCTATCGAAGAAGCTGTCAATTGTGTAGATAACCCCTTGTGTTCTATCGGCGCTCTTCCAAGAGAGCAGCGCCTTTATTCGCGCTATTCATTATTCCTCT